CTGTCCCTCAGCTCTTCAGCTCAAGGCTAGCGCTCTACCACTTGAGCCAGAGCGCCACTTCCGCCTTTTTTCTTTTTGCTTATGTGGTGCTGAGGAATTGGACCCAGGGCCTCATGCATGCAAGGCAAGCGCTCTACCACTGAGCCACATTCCCAGCCCATTTTTTCCTTTTTTTAATGTGAATTTCAAAGGCAAGAATGTGTCTATTTTGTGTGTGTGTGTGTGTGTGTGTGTGTGTGTGTGTGTGTGTATGTGTGTGTATTTATTGACATATGTATGTATTTTTTTTTTTTTTCCTTTCAAGTACTCCAGCTACTTTGGAGCAGAACTACATAGTTTGTGAGCTACATCAAAAGATAAGTGTGCTCTACTCCTTTTTGAGAAGCCACCTGAAGAAGAAGAGTATTGTCTTTTTCTCCAGTTGCAAAGAGGTATCAAATGTTTACTTTTTTTTCCTTGAACTTACTCATGTTGAATCATCCACTTTGAACTATCAATGCAGTTAGACAAGTAATTATATTGTATGGTGTATAGTGCTGGCTAGGTGGTGGATATACAGGCAAAGAGAATCCTGTGTTTTGTTATAAAAGAACCCATTGATGACACTTTAAGCTCTATGAGGACAGAAATGGTATATTTTCTTCAATACTGTGCTAGGTACCAGTGAGTCTGGAATATAGTACTTCCAAGAAATAATAGAAGAAAGAATTTCATGTTTGTGAATTTTATCCATAATCTGACAACTGCTAAATCTCTGTGGCAAGTCCTGGCTTCTGTCATAGTGCCAGACTTGTTTATCCCCTTGATCTATGGATATTTCCACCTGTATCTAGAAGACACCTGCAATTTGAAATGGGAAAAACAATTTAAGAGATGGTATTCCTAGATAGACTTTCCCAACTCATTTAACTGCAACCTTAGTTCCTGGCTGGTTTTACCCCCTATTGATAACTCATTAGTGCTGGCCCTTCTCCTAACCTCACACACTCGAGTGCACTGTGGCCCGTGCCTAACCTTCTGTTAGCTTCCTAACTGGTCTCCTCATCCCTGCACTTTCCTTACTTTAGTGTTCGCGTTGTAGAGCCTGACTGGCCTTTGGAAAGTGGAGATTGGAATACGCCATTGCTATACTTGAAACTGTCCAGTGATTTTTGGTGTGAATCAAATTTAAACTTCATGCTTTTGCCACATGTATCTTCTACCTCAGCTAGTTAAAAAGCCAGAAATTCAAGGTCAGTCTTATTTATGTGAGTCAGATCATAGAAAGTTTTCATGAATTCAGTTTATACTTACTAAATATAGAACACATTTCTCTCTTTTTCTCTTCAAAATTCTTTTAGAAAATAAGTGAGCAGAAATGTTTGAAGAATAAACAACACTGTAGAGTACATTTCTGCTTTGTATTAAAAAACTTGCAACTGGTGACATTTCCATTCTTTAAGCATGTTTTCTGTTTATCTTGTAAGCTGCACTGCTGTCATTCAGAGGTTCCAAGGCCAACCTTCTCTCCACTCCCAGGTGCAGTACCTGTACCGAGTGTTCTGCCGGCTCCGTCCCGGAATTTCTATCCTTGCTCTCCACGGCCGACAGCAGCAGATGAGAAGAATGGAAGTCTACAATGAGTTTGTCCGCAAGAGAGCTGCGGTGCTCTTTGCTACTGATATTGCAGCCCGAGGGCTGGGTGAGCAGACCTCCTGGGCTGAAATTTCTGTGGTCATGGGAAATAAAACTTTCTTCGAGAATTCTTTTTGGGAAAAGAAATAAAGCTGGAGTCATGGATCAGTTGGTAGAGTACCTGTCTAGCAAGCACAGAGACCTGAGTGAAACCTCAGTTCTGTCAAAAAAGAAACAGAAATAGACTCAAGCAATTGGACTTGTATTCCTTCCTCAGAACAGGAAAACTAAGTACCCTGATAACAGCTACTACATTAAGGATGTGTCAGGGAAACATTCTGTTGTTTTTTTTTTTTT